GCACTAGCACAGGTTGCCCTTGCATTAGCAGAGAATAAATAAAAGTGCCTTTCCTTCTTTTATTACTTGCTATTACTGACAAAGTATCAACTGTCAAGACAACCAAATGAAGATTTTAATTATGAGAATAAATAAAAGCTTATTCATCGCTAGCTGTAGGCTTTCCTTTAATCTCTTAGAGAATGGAGCAAGAGATTGAATTATAAAGCTCAAATTTATAAAGTTATACCAGTTCAAAATTTGCTACATCACGTAAATTTTACCAAAAATAGTCAACACAATTTTATGAAATCAAACATTACTCCAAAGTCGTTTTCAACAGTTTCCCATGTGATGGCAGGTTTAGAGAAAGAGTAAATTACTCTTTAGTTCATGAGTTTGAGAACATTTATAACTTAGTCCTTTATAGTTGAAAATACAAACGTTTCTCCCTTAATTTTAGTTGACCATTGTCTTTTGGAAAATCCAATGCATTTTTTTTCTATGAGAATTCAAATTTTTAAAGATTAAGAAAAATCTAACACATTTTCTAATAAAGCTAAGGTCAACAAGAGTCGAGAGATTAAATTGTATATTTTTAAACATAAAGAACTATATGATAAATGGATTAAAATATTAAGGACTACATAAGTAATTAATTCTTCGGACCAACCACCTCTTGGGCCTAGAATATCTTGACGCCACACATCCTGTGCTTCACCCATAAAAAACCAGTTTGTCAGGATCAAGTACCAAAACCTCGTACCCGAGAACAAAAAGTTAGACATGATCTTTTTCCAGAACGGGAAACAAGCACAACTGGTGGGCGGGTGTGGGACAATAATTAAGCCATCGCCACGTCACCACTCAGCACTAATTTTTTTTATCGACACAAAAGTAACTCGTCATCACCTGTGGATACACATTAGCCGTTAAGTAACGTCGGTAATTGACGGCGTCAAGTTCCTCTCTCCTATATAAATACGAGGACCGTCAGTTCTTCTTTCACCTGTTAAGTTTCTCATTTCAATTCCTCACAAAGCACTTCTTAAATATTCCCTCGTCTCCCTGTCTCTTCAACTACTGCTTGCACTAGTTGATTGGTCTGTCATTTTGCTTTTGAGTTTTTCACATCCCAGCTCCCAGATAGCTATAAACGTAACACTCTCCCTCCCCCTCTCACAGTCGCAACTCAAATCCTCACAAAAGACGCGTCCAAAACGTAGCGAAATATACTATACTGTTTGTATTTCTTGTCGATATATCTGTAAGTTCCTTGCTTTTCTAATGATTTAGATTCAATCGTAGTACTGCAAGTTTTCAAGAAACATTTTTACGTGGCTTGGCTTATCTTATATGCATTTCTCTTTCTGTGCTTTATCTTTTTTTAGTTTTTTGATGGGTAGTGTAAAATTTGACTGATTTAATGTTGTTTTTTTCCAGTTGGTGGAATTTGAAAGAAGCTGACTAAAAGAGAGACTTGCATAAAGTAGACAGCTAAGAGAGAAACAGGAACAACAACAGCAGCGTTTGGGTGTTTTTTTTTTTGGGTCATCTTGCTTTGGGTAAGTCATTTTCAGACTAATAGTGATGAAATACTTATTTTCTGTTCTTTCCTATTTATTTATTTAATTTTCATTTTTATGTTTTATCAGACATGAACAAATATCAATGTTGTTTACTCTTCCCTTCTTAAATATTCCTTTGTCTCCATGTCTGGTCAACTACCGTTTGCACAATGATTTACTGAACCCATCACTACAAAATTGGTAATATGATCCTTTAATGACTAATGAATCCTGCAAAAAGTACCCATAGAAAAAATAACGTGTTTGTTTTCAAAAGGAAAAGGTGAGACAATTCGCCAAAAAAAGGGATTTTAAGGAGCCGCTAGAGAGTTCCTTGGAAAATCTAAGTGTAATTCCGTCAATAAATTTCACGTTTGCTGATAAAAAGTCAGAAAGAAATCAATCAGCCTTTCTCCCTGACACTAAATTTACACGCCACCATTTACCCCTCTCTCTCTCTCTCTCTCTCTCCACCCGAACCTCTCTTGTTGCACTCTACCAGAGAGAGAAATGGGGAGAGATTTTAGACATTTTGGCTCATACAGAGAGAAACAGAAGGAAGAGTTTTAGGGCAAACCTAAAAAGTTCCCCCCAACTATTTATGGACATTATTTTGATTGAGTCAATAGAGATTTTTTATTAATAGGATCTCTAAAATATTAAAAAATTTCCAATTAGTTTTTTTCTTTTTCTTTTTGGTCAGAACAGTTTTCCATAAAGTTTTAATTTGAAAACCTTACATTTCCTACAACAGCGTCTTTTATTTAAAAATTTCAATTTGAATAGGATCTATTAATACAAATGGATGGACAAATTCAATTGAGAATTTGAGAAACTTATAAAATCTAATTAAGACAAAAGTTTATTTGAAGACTTAAATGAGACTAGCTAGAGGTTTGCATTGTTTTTTTCTTTTCTTATTAAGCATGAAAATGAATGAAAGAATTCAGTAAATAATTCTAATATTTTATCATACATGAACAAATATCAATGTTGATTGGTCCGTCATTTTGTTTGAGTTTTTTTTTCTTTTGATTTTTTAGAGATTATTTTCGATTGTTATTACTAGCCAGTGGTTCATATGATTCAGTGCTCTCTCTTTTAAAGGATTTGTCAGAAACTTCGGCTTACACAAATTTGATTCTTTATTGGGTTTGTACATTAAAGCATAAGCAACACAAATTTGATTGTTTAATATTGATTCTTTCATTTTTTTATTTTTTTTTAACAGGCTAGTTCAAATATGGAAACAGTCTCAATGACTTGGTCACTATATACCTTGTTGATCGTCTCATTAGTTTTAGGAACCATCACTGCACACCCATATTCTGCCAAAACTCTCAAAAAATTAGATTTGTTCCACCGTAACCATCCCAACATAACCCAAAACTCCTCAGAAAATAATGTCACGAGGATGAATAGGAGCTTCGGTATTGATGTAGAATCCGGCCTCCTTATCGGAACCCCTGAATACTTGGTGAGGATTGGTATTGGTACCCCTCCCCAGTATCAATACTTAGCTATTGATACTGGGAGTGATGTCACATGGGTACAATGCCGACCTTGTGACCACTGTTACCCACAAAGAAACCCTATATTTAACGCGACAGCCTCATCAACTGCTCGACCTGTTCCTTGCAAAACCCTAGCTTGTAACATGTTTGGCAATAAGGGACATTGCGTAAAAGGTCAATGCCAGTACAAAGCTAAGTATATGGACAAATCATATACTCACGGGCAATATGCATTTGAAAGTTTCACATTCGGAGACAGCACCATTCCCAATGTAGCTGTCGGTCTTGGTCACAAGAACAAAGGGACATTCTCAGAATTTTCTGGCATATTGGGCCTTGGAAGTGGTTTTTCCTTTCGAAACCAGTTGGGGGCCGCTCTACCTATTAGCTTCTGCCTACCTCATCCAAATACAGCTTCAATCGGTTGGTTGGAGATTGGTGATATTTCAGGAGCTGTTCAGTGGATTTCCATACAGCATACCCCTAAGTTTCCTGGTCGGAACTATGTAGGTTTTATGGGATTGGCTATAAAAGGCAAGAAATTGGACATCCCACAGAGTATCTTCCAGCTCACTGGAGATGGCGAGGGAGGGGTTATTGTGGACACGGGAACTGTAATAACAAGGTTCCCGAATATTGCTTATGAGGCACTTCGTGACTCGTTCTTGAAAGAAACTAATTATGTTCGAGCTCCACCTAAATCAGGTTTTGATACTTGTTTTACGGTGTCTCAATTTGAGGGTTTGGATTTACCCGTTCTCTCATTTTATTTTACAGAAGGACTTGTCCTCCACATTCGATCAGAAAGCATCATGATCCAAGTGGATGATATTGGAACTTACTGTTTAGCATTTGTTCCTTCACCATCACGCTTATCTATCATCGGAAACCTTCAGCTAACAGGCAGTCAGATCACCATTGATGGATCAAATAATTTTATGGGATTTGGGCCTAAAAGATGTTAAATAAAGGTGATGCTGAATGGAGCTTTGATGGAAGACCGAGTGCCTTGGAAGAATGAATGCTCTTTACTTTTTTTTTTTTTGTAAACTATTTTCTATTCTCATAGTTATACGTTTAAAAGAGAATTTTAATGTTTATATTTATTTCCAGTTGAATGACAATTAATTTATGCACGTGAGATTTGCAAATATAATTTGTTTTTATATACTGCTGAATTAAAATTAAGTTTTATTTATGTGACATCTTCACATCATAAGAGTAATCTCACACCATATTAATTATTTCTATAGTCTTGAAATTTTATTAATTGGGCCTCTCTAATTACAAAAATTAGATTCTATTGTCTGTTTTTAAATTTTCCTTTGAATCGGAAGAAATTTGTAATCAAGGTGAGTACCTAAAAGATTGAGTTAAATCCATCCAACTTAATGTTTTTTCTGAACTTACGACGATAAAGCTAGAGAAAGAGCAGCTCTTAAATCAAGCAGTTGACTCTAAAATCAATCTTGGTGCTCTAACTATTTTTCTGCACCCACTTAAAAAATAAATAAATAAATAAAAAGGAAAAAGAAGAAGCTGAATGGCCCCAAATGGAGAAGAAATTGAACGATCAAAGTGGTGCCAGTTAGGGTGTGTTTTAGAGAGTTTCGGGGTTTGAGAAGGGTCTTTCTCCATGGCTTTGAAAAAGAAACCATAGAGAGAGGAGTGAGAATTCTTAGTAGAAGCGGGGAAAATGTTAGAATTGGGGGCTCTCTGAGTTTCAAAAATTGGGGGAAAAAAAAAAAAAGAAAGAAAACATTAGGTAAAATGAAAATTGAGAGTTTAGTAGTTTCTCTCTGAAAAACGTAAATATATTTTGAGTATCATATTAGAGATATTGGGGTTCTGCCTTTCGATTTAAAGATAACTTAGGAAGATAGCTAGGGAATAATAAAATTCGATTAAAAAATGATTGGTCTTGGATAGCCTGTTTTGTTTACCTTAATGCTCTCTCAGGGGGCAGTTTAGAGGCAATCAAGTATGAAACTGCAGTTGCATGATCCTTATGACTTTGGCTAGTAAAGCTGGATTGAGTATTGAGATAGTGTCTGAAATCTACATGGTCCACTGTTTTTGCTTGACGTAGACAAAAGTTTATGTGTGTACCCTTTTCGGCCCGTTCATGATCATGTAACTTGTAGAAGAATGAGCTAAAAGAGTCCAATCTTGGTTAATTTCCTTGTTTGAGTAAACTGGAGCCAGCAATTGCATGATCGCTTTCCTAACTTTCTTAACTTTCATTTACTGATTTTCTTTTGATATACTACTACTAATAATAATAATACAAAAGATTTCTTTTCGTGAGTCCCATAGTTTAACAATTTTTTTTTTTTTTTTTACTAATTTCGTCTTAGATATCAGATTGTTGGGTTCCTTGTATCTCTCTATATTTGCCTCTTCCTACACATCTGTCTCAATGATCAATTGCTCCTCTTTCAGGAAAAAATGATTAATGGAACACGTATACTTATTTGTATGTTGGTTGTGGCTATGGATGCAGTAGCTGGTATTCTTGGCATCCGAGCAGAAATTGAACAAAACAAGGCATGCTAAACATCCTTTCTTTTATTTTTTATTTTGTTTTTGTTTTTTTAAATATTAGGCATCTTGTACTAAAAAATATGCTTAAATCTTACAAATTTGATTCATATCTTTCATTTCATTTTTGTTACTATAGGTTAAGCACGAAAGGTTGTGGATATACGAGTGTAGAGACCCAAGTCAAGATGCTTTCAAACTAGGATTAGCTGCAGAAGGAATTTTAGGACTGGCCCATGTTATTACTTACTTGCTGGGTTGGCAAATGTGCAGTTGTCCTCGAAGAGCATCTTCTAATAGGCTACTCTCTCTGGCATGCTTCCTTTTCTCTTGGTAAATAAAGTTCATAAGTTAATTATGCCTTAATTAAGTGGTTTGGACTCATTAGTTTCTATTGGACTAGCAATGCTTAGTTTTTCTGATTAATTAATAATGCTTCTATATACAATTATTTGGCCAGGATCATATTAGCTGCTGGATTATCCATGCTGGTTATTGGCACTTTGCCAAATAGCAAGTCAAGAGCCTCTTGTGGTACCACAAATCATCATTTCTATTCTATTGGAGGCATTTTGTGCTTTGTTCACGGGATTTTTTGCGCTGTATATTACATTTTTTACCACAGCTGATGTCCGTGAAGAAAAGGTTGGGCCTTTTCTTTTGAGACCCCAAAGTTTTGTACTTTTCATAATTCTATGTTTTGCCATGGGCTATATATTTTGCGTTCCATAGAATGTTTACCTTCCTAATTTGCCCTTCAACTCGAGCTGTCATCAACCACTTCTTCAATTGTATTTTTCTTATTGCTGTGTTCATTTCAGGATATATATTTGATATTCTTGAAAGTTGATGCTGTCAAATCTCACATATTAGTGTCTTTATTTTTCTTTCCCTTTTCTTCATTAAAATTAGGTTAATTTCTTTTTTTGGACTTGCCACTATATAACTCTTCGTGATGAAAAAATTAAGGAACTTGCTAAATAGTAATTTCAAACTCTACTCGAAGGAAAAAAAAGTTCAAAGTTTAAGATATAAAATAATTGAAATGGAAATCCTTTTAGGGTTGTATATCGGATTTTTACTAAGAAAAACGAGGAAAAAAAAACTCGGTCCTCAATAGGGATGGCAATCCAACCCCCTCGATGCCACCCCACCCCGCCCCTTTTAGGGTGGGAATGGGGCCCAAAATTTTATCTCGAATGGGGCACGGGGTGGAGATGGTTTTTTTTTTTTGGTTCCCATCCCCGTCCCGCTCCGTCCTTTTGCCTTTAAAAAAGCTAATCTAACGAGGCCTCGCCCTAGCTCGTTTGGGGCGGGGATGAGGAGCGAATTTTCACCCCGAATAAGACACGGGGCGGGGATGAGTTTTTTGTTTAGGGATGGGGCGGGGATGGCGATCCCCGCCACCTATTGCCATCCCTAGTCCTCAAGTATAGACGTGATGAAATCGAGTCTACTTGTCCTAACTCAATGATAAGGTTATATATATATATATATATGAGAGAGAGAGAGAGAGAGAGAGAGAGAGAGAGAGAGAGAGAGAGAGAGAGAGAGAGAGAGAGAGAGAGAGAGAGAGAGAGAGAGAGAGAGAGAGAGAGAGAGAGAGAGAGAGAGAGAGAGAGTATTTTTATATAAGTGATAAGAATATGTTTGACAAAAGTAACCTTAACATTATGTTTACTAAAGATTTTATATTTGTCTTGACTCCGGAACATGTTTGGAATCAATTCATTATCAAAATTGAATTCAATTATAGTGCTCAAATTGAATTCAATTCATAGTGCTCAAATTAAATTCAATTGATAAACAAGTTAACACAAAATATTGTTAAATCGTATGGGGTCATTCTAGGGCTTGTCATGATTTTAGAGTTTGTCATCGCTCGACTTCGAACAAAACTCTCAAAAATTTAAGAATTTTAAGATCTTTGATGTTTATGAATTATTTAAGGGAATTAAGTTATTATTGATTTTGGAAGTCACTATCTAGTATTGTACAAACTAAGAACCTAAAAATACCATTGGTTTAGATATTATAAGGTAAGTAGTTAGTTATAATTTTTAAAAGATATCGATCACCTAAAAATGTAATTTCTTAAGATAGGTACTGTAGCTAGGTCAGTCCTAAAATTTATCTTCTAATGTGTTTTATCCGTGTCAAATTATTTTCAATTCAAACTCTAAGTTTTTTTTTTTATTTCTTAGGCCAAAATAAGTTTTTTATTTTTATTTGTAGCATCATATTGAATCAATTGTTGGACCTCTTCATTGCGAGATATATTAGTTCAAATATTATATCCACTTTAAGTCTCGACATAACTAGTATGTTAGAAAAATGTCCTATTTATTAAAGTGATTGATTTGAATTGATAAATAACGTTCGTCCCTATTGGACCTTAATTAGTTCCTTGGTAATGTCCTTAACCCAATAGGGAGTTGAGAGTGCTATTATACCTGTCATACCCTAAAATTTTACCCATTTTTTTTATTTTAGTTTTGTTTAGTTTTTCTTTTTATTATCTACATTCATGCTTGCTTTACATAAAAAATAATCAATCAAAAAAATACTTTCTTTCATTTACTCAAAATTACAAAAGAAATAAAAATACAAAAATACAAAAAGAAAAAATGCGGAAATGGAGGGACAGTTCCCTCCATTTCTTTTATAATTTTCCGAGTATCTCTTAACTATCCTAGACTAATTCCCTAATTTAGTTTCGTCGCCTAAGTCGGCGACCCTTTCTTGTAATTCCTGTAAAATCTAGCACTATCCTTTTCCTCTATGTCATCAATTCCAACAACCCTATAGTCCATCCTACATCAATTTGCAGCCTTCATTCGAATGTAGATTGCCTTGCGAAATCTTCCCCGTGTCGGCCTTCACCTCCCCTATTATCATTTCCTGCCGCCGACCTCCATCACCACTACCTCAACTCCGTTGTAATTAGGCAATAGCCTCCCCTTACTCCCTCTCCCTCAAGTCAACAATGCCGACCATCTACAGACCTCCTTACAACCCACGACCATCACCGTCAACTTCCCTTACAACCCACAACTAGGTGCAACTAGCAGCCACCCTCTTACCGCCATAACCCATAACTTTTTCTCATATCTTGTTGTAACCCCTCTTGCCGGCCACCACCGCATAACCCACGATCCACTCTCCCCAAGCCAATCCCTAGTAGTCTCACCATTGCACGACCCACAAACTCAATCTCATCCAACCCTCCTACTTGACAATCTTGCGAAGAAAAATCTCACATCCTCATGCTTGTAATAACCCAAAATTTTCTTATTTTTATTATTTTTTATTTATTTTATTATTATTATTTTATTTATTTTATTATTATTATTTATTTTATTTTATTTATTTATTTATTTTTATTTTTATTTTTTAATTTGAAGTTTACTATAAAACAAAAGAGAAGAAAAAAAAGAAAAGAAAAAAAAAGAAAGAAAATGATGAAAAACATAAAAAATTTCATTTAGGGACACAATCGAAGTAATTAGGGGTGTAATAGAGTCAATTAAAAAGTTTAGGCCTTAAATTGCACCTCCGAGGACCTAATTGATGAGATTGTGCTGAAATTATTTCACGAGAGGGACGTAATTGCCGAAATTGAAACGCGATGACTAAGCTGGAAGTTTAGAGCGAACGACATGACCAAATGGAGGAGACGACTCGTCGTTCGCTCTAAGGAAAATTCTCTTCGAAAATCTTTGGGAGAATCCGCCCAAATCCTCCATGAATTTCTTGTTTTTGATTGTGTATTAATCACGGATTTTGTTGCTAAAACCAACACTAACGAGAATCAATGAGAATTTCATGTTTTGATTTCACAATTAATCATGAATTAAAGAGGAAAAATTCTTGTCGGAAAATTGAGGGATTTGAGATTTGATTCTCGGAGAGATTTTAGGAAATTTTATGCTATAAAACATTTTGAATTTCATAGAGAAGAGGAGGAGATTGGAGAAAAATTTTGGGTTAAGAGAGAGTGGAAATCAACAATAAAAGCGGTTGATTTTTTTTTTTTATTTACGGCGTCTACGCATTTCGGGTTTTTCTAGGTTTGTGTTCATAGACTTTGGTTTCTAGTTTTTCAAATTGGCTTCCTTTTTCTTTCTTTGTTTTGGTTTCTCGAGATAAATTTTTACTATCCGTGACAGCTCTCACTTCCCGGGTTTTCGATTTTGGAATTGTGAGTTCCTCGCTTGAATTGTTGGGTTTTTCGGTTTGTGTTCTTGGTGTTGTTCATCCAATTCCCGTGTCGGTTCTCGGGTTTTGATTTCATTATTGCTTTCCCTATTTTTGTTAGTCACCTATTCAGGTTGTTTTCTTTGAATTAAGTCTTAATGGAGGAAAGAATGCATGTTGTTTAATTGAATCATTTAATCGGATAGCACCGTAGTTTTGAAGATTTGAAGAATTAGGGATAAAAACAATGAAGAACATGAAGAACAGGAGAGAGAAAGGTTAAAAACTGAAAAATTTTGGTTTTCATCCGAAAAATAAGAACAAAAGAAAACGAACTTGTTTTCGAGCTTGAGGTCCGGCCCGTCCCGTGGCCTAAAGAGAAATAAAAGGGGGGTTGGATCGATTTCAGCCCGACTCAAGCCCGATGCCAAAAAAAAAAAAAAAGATTTCAGCTCGACTCGAACCCTTTCTCTAAAAAAAAAAAAGGGAGGCCCGACCGTAGGCCACCTTCCAAAAAATAAAATAAATAAAATAAAAAATAGAATTAGGGAATAAAAAAAAGGTAAAAAGAAAAAAATAAAAAAAGGGATGGGTAAAAAAAAAAAAAAGAGTAAAAGTTGTAGGTTAATAATTTTAGGTATAGGATTTTTTTTTATTACTTTTATTGTCATTTACTTTTTAACCTCGCTTCTATAGGATGATTTTTTTTCATTTAATTTTTTTATAACGTGCTTATTTTATTTCTTGTAGTTTTCTTTATTAATTTAGCATTTTTATTTCAGTTTTTTTCCTTTAATATGTATTGCTAGAAAATTATATATATACATATATATAATTTGACGAAGTCTCGTATCCGATAGGGACCGACGTCGCACAAAAAAAAAAAACCTAAAAATTGGTGAAGCTTCCTATTTGATAGGGGTTGACGCCATAAAAAAATCACCTTTTAATTAAGGCTTTTAGTTGATCCGATATTTAAATCGATGTGTCACTCAACGAAGGGGACCGACGATCGTTTTAATATGATGTCACGCCCAAAACTAAAAATTTCACTTAGTCTAAAAGAAAATAGGAGATTAAAATTTACAAAAATAGCTTGACATGGACTTTAGGAGATAATTCAGAATTAAACCGTACATGGTACCTTTTTCGAAAAGGGCACTTTTAGGTGATTAAATATCTTCCTAAAAGCGTAACCAACTCCTTACCTTAGGGATCTCTAAACCGAGTGTCCATTTTAGGTTCCTAGTTCCTTCAATACTAGGTGACGACTTCAAACTCTATAAACAAACGTGTAAATATTCAATCTAATTTTAGATATTTTCAAGGAGTCCCGTTCGATGTCGGTAGGGACGGAATGGCGACTCAACTAGGGACTAGAGTTAGGCCATAGGTTTAGTTTTTAATTTATCTCCTATACTTATTTTTTGTCATTTTATTTTCTGAATTTTGTTTATTTATTTGTGTATATATTTAAATTTTTTGTCCGCATGTTTATTTTTGAATTGGGTTGTACGTCTTTTCTTTTAACTATTGCACACACCACGAAGGAAACCTCTAAAAGCTCTAGGCCCGAGCTAAACCCTAATAGGAATTAGATAGAGTGATTTGGAGGCGAG